GATGGATGTTTGCTGTCAGGAGGGCTTGAACCCGGGCTGGAGGACAGCCTTCCCTCTCACACTGCTCTGTCCCGCTGCATCACTCCTCACATGCAACAGCAGACCTGGACCTCCTCTCTGCAGGAATGACAGCCTGTCACCAGCTTGCAGTGTGCGGTATCAGTCTGTCTAATCAACTGGGCTCAGGGCAAGGTTACACTCTTTGGTAATAAACATTTTTCTTCCTCCAATATATCATAATGATGGTGATGATCCCACAGGGCAAAGTTGTAATCACTCACCTGCTGACTCAGCCCCAATTATAAACTGGCTGTTTCAGCTCTATCCTTTTCCCACATTGTCACGTCCTATCGGAACCAAAGCATAACATCCGTCCCCTCTCTAACAAAGCCGCCGCTGGGGGCAAACTTTATCGTTCGTGTCCCTCAAGAAGCTTTGCAAGATTTTGCAGCAAAGTCAATTCGTTTTAACAGAGCGGCTCGCTGGGGGGAAAGTGGACCCAAGTTCAGCACGGGTAAACTTTGACTCAAATGTTTATCACTGACCAATAGCAAACTGTCCTGACAGTCCTGACCTTTGAGGGAAACGAAAGCTTTAGAGTGTAAAACGGAGAAAGCTGCTGTAGCTTTTTAGCTGCATCCCACCATCTACCTTTTCTTTTTTTGTTTTGCTTTACCTCATCTGTTAGAGTGTCGGGGCTGCAAGGTGGATCAGTGGTTAGCACCGTTGCCTCACAGCGAGAAGGTCGCCGGTTCGTGTCCCGGTGAGGACACCCGGGATCTTTCTGCGTGGAGTCTCCATGTTCTCCCCGTGCAGCGTCTGTCTCTAAGTGTAGCCCTGTGATAGACTGGTTACCTGTCCAGGTGAACCTGCCTTCACCCTGAGTCAGCTGGGATAGGCTCCAGAAGCCCACGACCCTGGTGAGGATTAAGGTGTAGAGATGATGGATGTCTGTACGAAATTTAATGGGAATCCATTTACTATCAGGTTAGTCACCAAGCTGGTGGATAAAACAGATGCGTTACTAAAAACTGTGTCAGTTTTCAGTTGAAAGTGCCCAAAAAACGAAGGAATGTGACAAAAGAATGAGTTCGGCCTGCGGAGCTGTCCGAGGTGCTGAAATACAGATTGTGGCTTTTTGTAGCTTTGCTGTGATTGTTGGCCTGAGTCACGGCCAGAACGCAGCTGTTTTCCAACAACCTTTGTTTAGTAGGTCATTAAATAATATTTTTAAACTGACGTCTGGGTACAACAGGCTTTAGTGTAAACATATATCTTCTAGATCACTTTAGAAGTTACCTGAATCAAGGTTTGTTTGTTTTGTGAATAGGGTCCAGGTATCCTTTTAACGTATATCTGTTGTATTTCCACTAAATCGGGTACGGCCGAGACCTTTCTGAAGTCCCCTTGTGAGTGTTAAAGCGGTGTTTGTCGCTACCAGCAGTCCATCCGGTGAGTACATTATGAGCTAAAATACAATTAATTAATGCTGTCACTCCCTTTAATGTGAACATGACCCAGGGGTAGGCCTAACCTTTACTCTTTCGCTGCTGTGAAGTGCTGAGTCGTACTTGTGTGACAGAGAAAGAGTGAAGGAGGAAAGGAGGGGATGGATGAGGAAAAAAAGAAAAGCTCTGTGTTGCGCTTATTTTTCTGGACTCAGATATCATTACAGTGTTGTGTGTGATGAGAAAAGCTGAATGTTGGCAGCAAAATGCACATTATGCTGATAAAGACTCCAAGGTAGCAGCTAGAATCTTTGCAATATGGAGGCTACCAGCCGCAGGGAATAAATAGCACCGGCTGCATCTAAAGAAAGCTGTCGGCATATGACAAAGAGGAAAGTGTTGAACGGAGGCTGCCTTCACATGGAATCTACCACAGCCACTGTGAGAATAAAAGGTCGTAAAGCGGCATATGCCGCTGTCTCTCCAGCCCCCACTCCACCGTGTTGGTGCTTTGTGGATTGTTTTCTCAATGGGCCAGATGGAGGAAGAGCTAGTGTAAGAGCAGGACAGATGTTTCACTCCACTCAGGGTGTGTTTGTTTTGCTGTGCGTGTCTGAGAGTAAAACAGTGAAAGAGACACGAGGAGATAAAGGAAAGTGGAGCGACGAAGGAAATCAATTGAGAGGAAGCAGGAGAGCATTAAAACCTCCAGTCCAGATTACCTTCTACTGTTTAAGACGGTAACTGGACTGTCTTTGTGCTAAATAAAGATTTAAAATCTCTTTTGGCCTGCTACTTTATTGGGGAGTGGTTCAACCTAAAGACTAAGGCTTCATGTGTGGCTCTGGTGCCACTGACAAGATGGTTATTATACTAATGATAATAGACTTTATTTCTTACTTATAGCACCTTTAAAAACAAACTTACAAAGTGCTTTGCAATAAAATATATTATAAAAATAAATAAGAACCAGAAATAAAGATATAAACAAGGGCTGCACGGTGCATCAGTGGTTAGCATTGTTGCCTCACAGCTAGAAGGTCGCCGGTTTCTTCCTGTGTGGAGTCTCCATGTTCTCCCCGTGCAGCGTGGGTTCTCTCCGGGTTCTCCGGCTTCCTCCCACAGTCCAGAAACATGCTGAGGTTAATTGGTGATTGTAAATTGTCCGTAGGTGTGAATGTGAGTGTGCTTGGTTGTCTGTCTCTAAGTGTAGCCCTGTGATAGACTGGTTACCTGTCCAGGTGAACCTGCCTTCACCCTGAGTCAGCTGGGATAGGCTCCACCCCCCCAGTGAGGATTAAGGTGCATAGATGATGGATGGATGGACAACTGTTACCATACATTAAAATGAAGGCAAACAGTAAAAGTAAGTTTTAAGAAGAGATGTAAAAGCTGAGTTTGCTTGCCTGAGATCCTCAGACAGGAAGTTCTGAGCGTGGATCCTCAGCAGCAAAGGTCTGGCCACCTCTGGTGACAAGATGAGAATCTGGAACCATTAGTGAGCCGTGCCAGAGGATCTTAAGCGTCAGTCAGGCTCACAGGGAGTTGGCAGATATGGACAGGAGCCAGCCCATTCAGGGCTTTTAAAACAAGCAATAAAGTCGTAAAATCAATTCTGAAACTCACAAGTAGCTCGAGAAGGGCAGCAGGGTTGGTGTAATACAGACTACATGCCATGACAGTTTTAGAAAAAGAGCTCATAAAATATGGACTAAAATGAATTTCCACCTTATTACCAATTTAAGGTGACTTTTATGATAAGATATGTACACTGTTGCCCATAAAGTTGGAATAATGTTGTATTTAGACACGTTGCTCCCCTCATATGAACCCTACTGAGCATGCCTAGGACGAGCCTCTAATGACAGGGACAATATTACAGGAGCTAGCCGGGATCTGACCGAAGAGTGGGACCGAAAAATGTGTTCCAACATTATGGGAAACAGTGTTTATAGCGTAAAGTATATTCACAAAACTGGTTGAAAGTGTAGATGGAAACAAAGCAGTTTATATTTCTGTCTCTCTGTCACCTTTGGTCTTGAAGTCAAATGTTCAAATTAAAAGCATCAGTTTCAGTCTACTGTTAACATATTACACTCGGCATGTTTGCAGATTAACAATTTAGTTATAAGATAAAGTATGGTGCAGTTTTTAAAGAACAAACCCAAAATGAATGCTCCCAATGTTAATGAAACTGAAATAATAACATAGAAAATAATAAAGTGACATTTACTTTAATATATTTTGCTGATATTAGCCATCAGACTTTTTCTTTGTGAGATTATTTTTGCATTATTATAATTGTATACATCCACCAGTGCCAAAAACAGTGACTTTTAAAACAGAAATCAGCCAATCATTGAAAAATAAAAATAAATTATTTTTGGTTGTGATTATCTTTAACTGAATGATCACGTGACCTTGTGTAACTTTAGGAGATTGTAAACACTCCTAAATAAGTGCCAGAGATGAACTCATGAAGGATTTTAGTTTTGTGAGAACACAGGCCACAGTCCCGGTTGTAGACCAGCAGGAGCAGGAACCGGAGCGTCCGGGTCCCTGACGCCAGCACCATGGCCAGCGCCTCCCCGGGCCGCAGCGGAGCCCCGGAGGCTGGAAAGTAACGCGGAAAGTCGAGGCTGGGGACGACATTTAACAGACCTCACCGTGTCCACGGGGGCTCTCCGTTACCGAGGCACACCTGACGTCAGCAGTCCCGGTGCTGCTGCTGAGCGCGTGACAAAAGACAAAGTGTCAGGTGCAGCCAAACTGCTGAAAAGTTGTGTTTCCTGTCGTTAAATGACTGCGTGTTGGCGTGATAAACACAAAGGACCGTGCGTAATTCCGGTGGAACAACCACTTTGTACGAGTTTGTAGCTCCACCACCAGCGCACTAACAGATGCTAAGCTAAGGTGTTTTTTTAGCTCGACAACGCTGCTAGCTACACCAGCAGACAAACCAAACAGCTAACCCCCGTGTAACGCGTTACAGTTACCCGTTACCCGCTGCCAGCCTCCCCTCCGCTCTCTCTCCGTCTGCCGCTTTGTCTGCGCATCCATGTGGGCTTTCCCTCGGCCGTGTCGGCGCTGCGCCTCTCCGCCGGTTCAGCCTCATTGGCCTCGCGGAACATCCGTCTTCCCTTCACAACAATAGAGCCCCGGACACACACGCACGCACCCACACGCACGCACCGTCCACTCACGCGCCGGCACCAGCGCGCACAGTGCTTTCGAGGAGCGGCGGTGAGATGTTGGTTCAACTGCGGCGCGCCGACTCTTCCTTTCTTTGCAGCTTCACATCGGCGAGGAGCGCAGGGAAGCCTCTGCGATGCGCTCAACCGGGGACGCGTCGGAGTTGAAATAAGGGAGACACGGGGGCTCGGCGACAGAGAGGCAGAAGGGGCAGATTTTTCCTCGCGAACATGACTGACTGGTGACAAAGAAAACGGGGAGCCCCTCTGGCTTCGGCTGACACCCGCTGCAACTTGGACCGGCTCGCTCTGACTTGGACCGCCAAAGATTTTTATTGTCACTGTTTGTGGAGGGGGAACCATGCCTGTCCGGAGGGGTCATGTTGCGCCACAAAACACGTTCCTGGGAGTAATTATTCGGAAATTCGAAGGACAAAGTGAGTATCTCTCCGGGTGTCCAGGGCTGTGTGGGTGCGCAGCTGCCTTTTGTGTCTGTCCTGCTGCATCCTCACAGCAATTATTTAGTGCTTTAGGAAATCGCCTTAAAGGCCTTCTTTTAAAACAACAAGATGCAGCTCTGCTCCACTGGTTCTGTTTCCTCTGTCATGTTAATAACTGTTTGTCAGAGGAAGTCATTATGAGTTAATTATTCTTATCAAGCACCTGGTTTGTTGTGTAGTTCCGGGGAGCCCCGCGCAGGCCCGCTCTGCTGCTCAAAATATCCCTGAAAAATGTGTGAAAGAGGGATTAAATGATTTAATTACCTTCAGATCATCCCCCGCTTACCTTCACTGCCCTCCATGAATCCTAAAAATGTGCTTCTTTTATTTTAAATGAGACTCTAATGGACGGGTAGCCCGGTAATAGAGGATGTATTATGAAGGCTTTCGTAACAAATGATGTGGTGAAGCAGGCTGAAGCGATCCAACCTGCCTGTGAAGTTTCTTTTTATTCACTGGATCAGCTCAGCTCCTACATTTGGGATGTGATGGAGGACGATCCCATCACACCCACCTATACTGGAGAAGTCACATATTTCACATACTTGCTCATTTTGCTGTTTGTGCTGTTAATTAAATGACATATCCAAATGTTTTATTGTTCCAGTTAATTAAAGAGCAAATTAACATTCTCTCTCTTCCCCAATCTCTCCTCTGCCCCGTCACAGATAAGAAATTCGTCATAGCCAATGCCCGGGTGCAGAACTGTGCGATTATCTACTGTAATGACGGCTTCTGCGAGATGACGGGCTTCTCCAGGCCGGACGTCATGCAGAAGCCGTGCACTTGTGACTTCCTGCACGGCCAGTTCACCAGCCGCCACGCTGTGGCCCAGGTGGCCCAGGCGCTGCTGGGCTCCGAGGAGCGAAAGGTGGAGATCACCTACCACCGCAAGGATGGTGAGTGCTGTGGGCTGTGTGTGTGGGCTCAGGTGGCGTGTGCAGCACCTGACGGGAAGGTGTTGCAGTAGTCGCACTTTAAAATACACTCTGGCTGAACTGTGTTTACTCTCTTTATAAATAACTGCAGTGTTGTGGTCTGTTTTCTACCATTAGATTTGAAGGACTTGTTACAGAATTAGAATTTGGTTTATTGTTTACGGCATAAAACAGAAGCCCCTGGAGTGTAAATGCAAGATCAATAGGGACAGAAAACATGTGTGAAAGGAGGATTTTACAATGTCTAACCCAGCAGGTACACAGTAGGTAGTTTTTAGTTCTGACTCAGCTCTATGTGGAGCATTTTGCAGCAGCAAATCACCAAGTGTTCACCCATTTAAAACCCTGAGGGGGGGACGAGCAGCTGTGAAGGTTTCCTTTCGCTGTGAAGTCCAGTTTTGAAACGATGCAGGCACTGCGTGGCTGGAAAAGATGTTCATTAGCCTGCACTGGATAGTTCACTCTGGGAAGGATGTAGCTCACTTCCCTAAAGACCAGAGTGAAGATAGAGAGCCATGTGGTTTCTCTGTCTCTATTCTCATCGTCTCTGCGTTTCTTTACAGTAGACTGTACGCACATGGAGCTCATGGACACTTGTCTGTGACTGACGGCTCTGTTTGCTTATCCCTGCCTTGGTAATCCACTGGTGGACAAATACTTGACTCAGACCATGACTTGCACGACAGCTGGTATTGTTTTAATGAGTAACCAGGCGAGCTCCAAAGTGAACGCTGAAAGCAGTCACATCCACCGGTTCAGGGAAAGTTCGTGTTGTGACCTCTAACAATGACACGTGGATTCACACTATTCAGCTTCTTGTGAAATTTATCTATGGAACCAATAAGCACTAATACACCCATATAAACTCTGCTTATCAATAATGGATTGTTTGTGTTTCTACAATTTCATTTAGCAGACGCTTTTATCCGAGATATCTGAGAGCAGGTACGACACAAGCAGGGATCTAGTCAGGAGAAAACAACCTGGATAAGAGCCATAAACCAGCGTGATAGGGCGCTGATGCCATATAAATAAGCCATTAGACTTTATTGAATGTTTATCTTTGGTAATTATTCATACTACAGCATGTGAGTCATTTTTTTAACCTACCACACTGAAGCAGAGCCCACAGGTTATGTTATTCCTTAATGTCATTTTTAGGTGAGTAAGATTAAAAAAAATATGCATCAAGCATCATTACTAAAAGCCTTAATTGCAAAAAACAGTGTGTTTGCTTGCACTTGAACAGTAGTAATTAAATATTGTTCGACCAGCCCAGCAAATTATTGGATCAGATTTTTTTGGATTACCTTTTTTTTTTTTCTAAACGATTATCGATAAAATCAGTTTGAATTAATTGTGCCACCTCTCTGGATCTGCAGACCCTCTGTCCTCTGAGCAACGTCCTGCTCAAAGCCATATCTCATTCCTTAGGTGTCATGAATAATATTCTACCAGTACTGAAGGATAAATGTCGAAAAGATCTTTGAATTAAACATATGCAACACCAGAATTGACCCGAGCCAATTTAGCAAAATGTTAAATTGGAGTTTGTGTAGAGTTCTAACAACACACTAGTTATTATAACAGCTATGAACAATAATGAACAACTAATGAGCCTTCAAGAATCAAGCCCTCCTTGTATCTGGACCTCCGTCTTGACAATCCGACATCAAAGAAGATTTTACGTTTAGTGTCAGTTTATCGAGTCGCGGCTGTATTTTTCTCTGCATGTCAAACAGAAATGAGAAAACTCCTCTGCAGGCTGCTGCAGGCCTGCTCCCATTAGCTGACTAGACACAAGGCAAAGTGCATCTTTGAGTCAAAGACCATCAGAACGGCTGACGATTGTCCCACCGAGTAGAGTTCAGGAACACATCTTTCTACCAACCGGTGCAACAGCGCGAGGCTTCAGATCTGCTGAAGGGATACGATTTAGATCTGCTTAAAAATGCATGGATTTCTCTCATGGAGAGTAAAACAGGAGCCGGTGAGGAGGATTCATTTTGACATGCGATGAGTGATTGGAGCTCTGCTTTAGGAATGATGATGCTGTCTTCAGTGATTGACTACTTGTGTTTCTGCAGTGTGTGTGTGTGTGTGTGTGTGTGTGTGTGTGTGTGTGTGTGTGTGTGTGCATGCATTTCATAGCCAGACAAGTAGAAGAGAGCCCAGAGGGAGAGGAGTGATGCAGATGAGGTCAAAATGGCTTACAGAGCAGTTACAAATGATCCTTGGAGACGTGGATGTGTGGGGTCAGAGGTTGCTGAGTGAGATAAAGATACAGACGAAGCGCTTGAGGGAATAGGTAGAATGGAGATGTCAGCTTATTTTTTTAAGTGGAGGGGTGTGCTCCAGAACGTGCCCCTCGAGACTGTCAGCATGCAACCTATAACCTTGTTTTATGTTGTTGTTGCTGAGCTCTGACTGTCCTCAAAGCCGAGGCTGGAGCACAAATGCTATCGTCTCCCTGTGCTGTCTGGTGCAGCAGATATAATCTTACCCTGGTTTTTTGAACTTGCCACAAATTAAACACCCACAGAGCATTCACTGAGGTACAACTTTTTTAGCTAAACTTAAAGGAAAACTTTCTTATTCCAGGATTTTATTGAAATCTGCACATAAAAGAAGAAGATTGAGGATTAGAGTCATTTTCTGGAGGCTTGAGATTTTCCCAAGTAAAGGAAATGTAGCTGAATCTATATTTTAGTATTATTCTCCTGATTATTGTTATTATAAAGTTCCTAATGTGTCCACAACCTCCTTGTTTGGTAGAAGATGGAGCTCCTGCAGCATTCAGGATGCACTGCTCAGAACATGCGTGGCTTCTGGTATCTTCGAGGAACACTTTGAGGAACAGATGTTTGTGGATGCATGTTTAGAAATCAGCTCACAGGAACCATTAGCGAGCTCTCCCATGAGTGATCAGTATTGTGTAACAACAGCACAACATGTAGGAATCTCCTGGGAATGTTTGTTGAACTAATTAACCAAACAAAGATGTTCTTTGAAGGCTACGAGACGTGTTAGATGGAACTCTGAGCACAGGAACAGCCCTTTTTATTTTGGAGTATTGGAAATAAGTTTTGGATGGAGGACAAACACTCATTATGGAGTGTTTTTGTACTGAACTGTTGGCAAAGTAAGTTTGAAGTACTTTTGACCCGACCAGAACAGGTCCGATGGCCCCCAATAGGCCAGCGTACCGCGAGCCAAGACAAGCCGGGGGTTCAGTCTCCATCGATCTGCCGAGCAACCAGCATTAATGAGGACACAAATACCTTCATGTTGCATTGATCTTCAAAACCGGTGCATTGGTGAGGGGAAATCAATCACGGCCAAACGCCCTCCCTCCATTGCTGCTCCGCTGGGAACTCGGATAAAAAGAGCTGGAGGGCTTCTGACTGTCGGACCCTGCAGCAGGGGAAAAGGCCTCATTACCATTCTGCATCCTGTGCCCCTAATTACCTCAGTGTTTTCCTCTCACCTGACCCAGCGCTTCTCCAGGGAAGGTCATGCACCTGTTTCAGCTCAGCAAACTGCTCTTATCATCTGTTTTTTTCATAATAAGCAAGCGTGGCTGTTTATGATTTTATGTTTCGGTAGTTTGCTGGTCTGGTGACGATGAAGTGATGTTTTTAAGCCTGTGTAACCTTTTATAATCTATAACATACAAAATGTGCAGAGGCAGGCAGCCCCAGGGGGATGAACGGAGATGTATTCATGTTTGTTGGTAAAAAAGATCGACAACAATGAGATGAAAGTAGTGCTGCCATGAAAACTATCCAGGAATGAAAGCCAGGTGCAAAAATACAGGAAAACAATTAAATGGCAGCAGCGTTCATGAAGCTAGTTTCAGACGTGGTGACCCAAACTATCAGCACACACTCATGCAGCGCTGCCCTCTGTCCCTGATGCCTCCTATATTGGAGCTCCAGCTGAAATGTCATTGCGGCGAGCTGACTGCTCTCCTCGCCGTGCATCGCTGAGACTTCTGCAAGGCAATCTCCTTCTTTTTAATCCTTTGACCCGGGGTCAGCATAAACGCATCGCCCACCGTCCTTTACAGTCCGCCAGGAAGATTCTGCTCGTCAGCACAATCTCTGGCACATTCTTAATGCTTTGTGATTTGTGCCATTACTGAATCCCTGAATGCCTGCCGGTACATATATTTCTGTGACCTCCCTTTTTGTCATTGAGGGAACAAAAGAGCGACAGCTTCGGCGCTGAGTTGTTTGGTCCGAGAGGAATGTCTCAAACTTGGTCCTGGCTGTTCTCGAATTGGACTTTTGTGTCATTCTGAGTTTTACATATTTTCCTAGAGCATCGTCCGTACTACTGTTACTTGGTTTTTAGCATGACCGTGGTATTAACAGGATAACTACAAAGGAAGTTTTGTGGGATTTTGTCAGTAAATCCATTTGCGTAGCTTCATATTTTATTGTATGTAGTTTTCTTTTTTTTTTATGACCTTGATAAATGTTCTGCACAGCGCCTCTACTCAAGTCATCACCTGGAAAGTGATGCATCTGTGCTGTTTTGGTCGGCTCTGTCTCCACATCCCACACATATCTGCATTTGTTTCCCTTCTTAACCAGTGAAAAACAAACAAGCCGGTGCCTGCCTGATGCTGCAGTCGTCTCTATGTGTAATATAGTGTGTAAGATGTGCAGACTGATTCTAGCAGACTTAGATTTGCTATTTGGGCATAGCCAATGAATCACCTCTACACCGCTTAATCCTCACTAGATGGTGGGGAGCTGGAGTCTATCCCAGTGAAGGCAGGTTCACCTGGACAGGTAACCAGTCTATCACAGGGCTACACTTAGAGACAGACAACCAAGCACACTCACATTCACACCTACGGACAATTTACAATCACCAATTAACCTCAGCATGTTTCTGGACTGTGGGAGGAAGCCGGAGAACCCGGAGAGAACCCACGCTGCACGGGGAGAACA